CCTCACCCCAGAAAGAATGGCTGCTATTAAGAAATCATCCAATAACAAATGCTGGCGGGGCTGTGGGGAAAGAGGAACCCTGCTCCACTGCTAGTGGGAGTGTAGACTGGTGCAACCACTGTGGAAATCAGTATGGAGATACTTCAAAGAACTAGGACTGGAAGTCTCATTTGACCCCGCTATTCCCTTGCTAGGTATCTTCCCCAAAGAACTAAAGGATCATACCACAGTGATATATGTTCACCCATGTTAATAGCAGCACAGTTTGTGATAGCTAAAACTTGGAATCAGCCCAATTCCCCATCAACAGGAGACTGGATAAAGAAAATGTGGTTTTTTAATAAAATGGAGTACTACTCAGCCATAAAAAATGAGTAATTAGAGACATTTATTGTTAAATGGATGCACATTGAGGCCATACTCTTACCTCTTACTTACTGTTTTCTTTTTTTTTTTCTTTTTGGTACAGGGGATCTAACTCAGGACCTTGTGCTTGCAAAGCAGGCAGCGGAACCACTGAGCTAAATCCCCAGCCCCTGAGGCAATAGTCTTAAGTGAAATAAATAGGTCACACATGTGTAAATACTGAATAGTTTCTTTAGTGTGAGAAACTGAAAGGGTAAATAAGGAGTAAAAGTTATAATGGATAACGTGAAATAGGAAGGAAAGGGGCAAAGGGGAAGGAAGTGGGAGGGCTAGGGGAAAGGAAAGAAGGGAATGGGATTAATATGAGAAAATGAAAAATGGAAACAAAGTCTTTGTAAATAGGGAGGGATGGAGGGGTTCAAGGGAGGGCAGGGGAAGGGGGAAAAATAAGTACCAAGAGAGATTATGTAAAGGTACAAATTTCCAATGATGAATGTCATTACATTGTACACCTAAAATGTACCAATTAAAAAAAAAAAGAATTTGATGGGAAAAAAAGCACTGACTAAGCTGAATGACGAAGTCCTCTTTTGAATTGCTTTTTTAATGTGGCCACCTGCATATATCTCTTCTTGGTATTTTCTTAAATTGTGCTTTCTTTCTTGAAAAGAATAGTCACTTCTTAAGGTGGATCAGTTAATTTTGTGTTAATGGTAAATAATAGCAAAATCCATTATGATTTTTGGTAGAAATTGCTGGTTATTAAAATTTCCATAAGTTTGGGAAACATTCTAGCTTCAGCAGGAAACATTTGTTCTATATTCAATGCCTTTTGGATTTTGTGGAACATAATTTATCCTGTTTTCCTTAAAACATTGCTCATTATGGAATATTTGACATTAAAATCGGATTTTTCTTCTTAATTAATAGACTAACAAAGGAATAACAACAACTGTAGACCTTGCCTCACAGCGTTATATTTGGTAATGGGAACATTTGTTTTTAGTGGTTTTACTTAAGGAATCTTTCATGGTCTTATCTTTCATTTTAGTACAAGACAAGAAATATTTTTGTTTGAAGTCATAGCCACATATCAATTTCTTGTCATCTAGAACACAATTCTTCCCAAATGATTAGTTCTTTCTTCTGTAAGAGAAATGGCAGGCTGTAGATGCTTTCTAGGTCTTTTTCACTGGATCCAGTATATACTGGTAATTCATAGGAGACTCACATGCCAAAATCCCCTTCACTTTGCAGTTGTTTTGTTAGCCTTTGGACAACTTAGATATGTACCCCAAGCTTAGCAAATAATTTCAGAGCACTCTGTTACTAAGGTCATTCACTCTGCTATTTAAACAAAATAAACAAATCTTTGTCTAATTTTCAAACATCAAAGCCAAATCCTAAGTGTCTGAGTTTCTCAAAAATACGTTAGTGGAATTCTGTTTTCTTTATTGACTTTAAATCACGTTAGTAATAACTTGAAATTTACATTTACAAAATTCTCTTTCTTGGGTAGTTTAGATAGTTTACTTTATGTTAATGGATTGAAATTGTTATCTGACCTTTGTTCAGGCCTTTCTGGTTATTTTCAGACAACTGTCTATGTATGTGTAGGTGTCTGCTTACACCCCATGGAAATATAGATTAACACTCTTGTCACTTTTTTGTATACTGTGTATTGGGTTTTGCTTTTTATTTTTACTTTAGTATGAAGGATAGGTATTATCTATGTATTACGATGAAAGTCTACTACTTAAAAGTGGCATTAAAAAGTCATACAATGCTGAAAGCTTTGGAATATCAGTTGAAAAAATATATTTTTGTGACTTTTTAAAATGTTAGAAAAATATGTATATGTGTGTAAAACTGCTTTGGGAATGCTCAGTGCAAGTCCTCCCAACACTTCCATTAAGTAGTTAGGTTAAAGACCTTGTTGCAAAGGGAGGGAACTGAGTGCCTGTTAGTATGTATCAGGACTGACACCTTGGTTTGCAGCCTCTATTCTTTAGGTCCAGTGTTCTGATTAGCCGGGGACTGTTTCTACTATGGTGAAAGAAACAGTACCTCTGGCGGGTGAGGATTTAGTAGCTCTGTGTACACAGGCAGACCTGGGACATAGGGTCTCCTCCCAGGAAACATCCCAAAGGCTACTCTGAGTGTCTGGAGGTGGCAAGTTTCTCTGTCTAACCCTCCAGGCCCCCATTCCTGGACCATAAATCCAGAATATAAATGCTATTTCACTGACTACTTGACAGATATTCAGCCTTCTTCAGGAAACCTGACCCCATGGGTTAAAAAGTTGAAAAAAAAATTTACCTTGATATGTGAAAGTGGCTTTGAAAACAGTCCTGTCTCTTTGCGCATTTGAAAACTTGCTGTTTTCATGGGAAGATGTGAAATGTAACACCATCTCTTTCCATTCACATTTCTAAAGAACCTTGGGAAATGACTTATTTTTAATGCCCTTTTGTCTTTGTTTATGACCACTCTGCCTGAAGCTCTCTGTGTTAGAACAGCCATAGGCCCTGTGTACACATCCAACATCACTAGACTGGTTATTTATAAGACTGTACTCTTCACTCAGTTTCTGGATACATTGTGTAAAATAAGAAACATAAAACAAAGAAGCCTCTTTGGGAGACAATATGATTCTTTTCAAGGTCCTTTTCTCATTCTGCAATTATTTTGGAAAGGACTGTGTCTTTCCATGTGCCTGGTAGGATACAGAACACGTGACCAGAACTGAATATTACCACAGGGATCTCCTCTCTCTAGTTCTCCTACTTCTCCTGTGTGAAAGTTGAGTCAGCTCATCTTGTCTAAATGGCAGGTTCCCTATTGTACTGACATTAGGTGACATTTTATAAAAAATACAGGTATGAAGATGCTTCTCATGTGGTTTTTTATTAGGAGTCATGAAGAAGCTATCAGTTCTTACCTACAGACTATTAATAGCTGCATATTTTACGCTGTAAATCCTAGACCTGTCAAAAAACCCATTAGGATAGAATATATAGAGGGACTTTTTTGCACCATGGCTTGGTGAAAATATGATGGAAATTATCTTTTGATTCTGATGGAATATTCCTTCAGTATTTTATCACGTAATGGTTATTTTTGAAGACATTTCTCATACTTTTATCTAGTTATTATTTATACTTGCCAGTTCCTGGTTTATCAAATCCTAAGCTTTGTGTGCCCTGAAACCTACTTCCATCTGAGTGTCCTGTAACTATTCTTTGAAGGATGAGGTGGCAGAGTGCAGCCCCATGCTTTGAGTGAGGGGTACAGGAAGCAGAAGCTCATGAAGGCACCAGTGATTCTGAAGGATTAGGAACCTGACAGTTTTTTCTTGAAGGTTGACTCCAACGGTTTCAGGTGGAGCGCTGTGTGCAGCAGGCATAAGTGTTGTCGATGTTTTCTCTCAGATAAGGGAGGCAGTGAAAGCCACAGAGGTGCCATATAAGTCAGCCTGACTGATGAGAGGACCCGGGGATGGAAGCAGCCTTCAGATGTTCCTCCATGAGGAGCACGCGTCAGAGCATCAGGTGCTGCTGTTGCAGTTAATTGGAAACACTTGTCAAAGTGACAAGACGAGAGAAGCAGGTTGGGCTGATCACACTTGATGAGACTGTCAATAGCAAGCTGGTGTGAGCAGTGGAGATGTAGAAGCCCCGACCTAAGAGCATTGCTGGCCTTCCTTAAATAGCAAGACTGCCTTCATGTCCCTGCCTTGTGAAGGGACATCCTGTGCTTTATTTTAGAATTTTTTAGTTTTGGGCTTGAAAAATGTTCAAAAATTTTTAAAATGTTTTAAAAACTGATAGTTTGTATAAAATTAAGTTTCTTTTAATTCCTTGCAGCAGTGAAAGCCTGTTGTCTTGATGCTGATTCCTGGCATAGCAGTTGGCATCTGAAGGACGAGGGGAGGTGGGAGAGAGCCATTGCTGTGACCGTGTCACACACCGTTGTCTTTCCTCTCCCTCTGTTTCAGGAACCCCTGTTTGGTTTTACATGCAAATTGCACCGATAAGAAATGAACACGAGAAGGTGGTCTTGTTCCTGTGCACATTCAAAGATATCACGTTGTTTAAACAGCCCATAGAGGATGATTCCACGAAAGGTAATTTTCACAAGAATTACTATAGCTGGGAATTATGCTGTTCCTTAACTATCTCCATCATACTTTAGCAAACTATTGGTTGAACTGGAAAACAGAACGGTACTATGGGACCCTTCTTTTCCTTCACATTTACAGTAGTAATTGCTCAGAATGAGTTTCATTCTCTGTCTTATTTGAATGGAAATAGTATGGCTATGCAAATTTGAAATAGTTCACGAGTAACTGAAATTGTAGTAGGATTGGAGATGAAATAGAAGGAAGGAATTTCATAGAGTACTGTTAATTTAGAATCAGTATAAATGAAGTTTTAACACTACACCATGGTAAGCTTTGGAACCATTTGTACGTAGCCTTTTGTATGGTTTGGGTGAAATGGTACTACAGCTCAGTGGACGGACTTTTTGACTAGATTGGACTTTTATTAGTTGACTTATCCAGTTTACATATCAGCTTTTATGTATTCAGATGTATATTTTCTTGAGTAGACATTGATAGATGCTGAAAAGTATAATTTTATCATCAAGAGAGTGGCTGGGAAATAACAGAGCTCCTGTAATCTTATTGACTATAATATCCAGACAGAGTGCTATAGAAACCCATAGGATGTATAATTGTACCTCTTTTCTATGTAATTTATTCTCAATTTATTCACTCCAGCTATATTTAAATTAGAACTTGGTGTCATATAAATGAAGCATTTCAAAGACTCTGAGAACTAGTTATTATAAAATGTTATTTTAAATAATCTCTTAGGAGATTAAAAATGAAGTGTCTTCCTCTTTGCATTTGGCAAACATTACCTTTTCTTATTTCTTAAAAAAAAAGGAAAGGAAAAACTGGCATGGAAGCTTTAAGCTTTCCAACTGTAATCATAATTATAGAAAAAAATCTCATTTGTTTATTTCTTACACAGGAGTTCAAATATATAATATTGTATCGCTCAGTTTCTGCTTAGTATCAAATTATAAAAGAAATTTTATAATGTGCCAGCTATTTAATTATGACATAGAATAATTAATTTGTAAATGTTTCTGGAAACATGAGGGTATTAAGCCATCACCTAGAAGATCAAATAAAGCATTCAATTTTTAAACATTGGTGCCTCTATCTTTACATATAGCTCAATGTCTGAGAAATTTAGGATATGTGTAAATACTGTTTTTATTTTTTTATTGAATAGGCTTCTAATAGTCTTTAAGTTGAATGCTCATTTGTTTGCTTTAAAAGTCATGGTACTTCATCCAAAAGCTAAAGAAAATATACATCACATGGAGCATTCACCAGATAGATCACTACTAGGTTATAAAACTCACTTTGACTAATTTAAAAGAATAGAAATATTAAAAAGTATGTTCTCGGTGGTCACAGACACTTATAATCTGAGCATTCTGGGATGCTGAGGCAGGAAGATTGCAAATTTGAGCCCAGCCTGGGCAACGTTGTGACTTAGCAAGATCCTGTCTTGAAAAATATAAAATAAGTGTGTATGTGTGTGCATGTGTGTGTGTGGGGGAGTGGGGGTTGTAGCGCAGTGTAAAGGTTCTGGGTTCAATCTCCAGTAATAATAATAAAAAAAGATATGTTTTCAGATCACAATAGAGTTAAACTAGAAGTCAGTCTCAGAAAGATATCTGAAAATCCTCACATATTTGGAAATTGAACACATTTCTAAATAACCCATTGGTAAAAGAAGTCTTAAGTTAGAAAAATATTTTGAACAAAATGAAAATACAATTCACCAAATTTGTGAAATGTAAATATGAGAAAAGAAGAAAGCTATAAAAACAATAATCTATAAGCTCTCACCTAAGGTAACTAGACAAAGAAGAGCATTTTAAACCAAAGCAAGCTGAAGACAAAAGTTAATAAACCTTAGAGCAGAAATCAATGAAATAAAGAGAAAGGATAACTTTAGAGAAAAATTACCAAAGCCTAAATAAAGTTAGTTTCTTGAAAAGACTGTTGAAGTTAATAAATCTGTAGACAGTCTGAGAAAAAATAGACAAGACACAAATTTCCAATATCAGAAAATAAAGAAAATCCAACACTACTCATTCTGTGGACATTAAAGAATAGTAAAGGGCAAGTATGAACCATTATTGACAACTTAGAGGAGAGAACAATTCTTTAAACACACAAATTACCAAAACTCACTCAAGGAGAAATAGATAATCTCAGCTGCCCTATATCTATTAAAATTTAATAAATAATGAATAATCTTCTGAATATAAGAAAACAAAGTGTGGATGGTTTCATCAGTAAATTCTAGTAGTCATTTAGAGAAGAAATAATACCAGTTCTCCAGGTGTCTTCCAGAAAATAGAAGTAGATGGAACTTCCTACTTCATTCTATGAGGTCAGCACTACCCTGTACCAAAGACACATCAAAGGGAAATTAGAGATCAGTATATTTTGTAAATATAGATATAAAAATACTCAAAATATTGAATCCAACAATCTACAAAAAGAATTACAGAGGACAGCGAAGTGGAGTTTATCCCACATGTGTAAGACTAATTGAACATTCAGAAACCAAGCCCTGTAATCCCCCACATCAGCAGGATAGTGGAGAAGACACATATGGTCATCAGTTAGCAGGGTAAAAGCATTTGGTGAAACTCAGTACTCATTCATGATAAAACTCTGAGAAAAGTAGAAGCAGAGTAGAACTTCCTCAATTGGATAAAGAACATTTGTGAAAAACCCATAGCTAACAGTGGACTATGTCTTAAAGTGATATATTTTAAAATAAAAGATAAAATGATTGACATATGATTTGTCACCTAATAGAGTCTTCAAATGAAGTTTTGTTGCCTTCTCACATAAATAACAGAAGCTTCAATGGCAAGCTTTGTCACACTATCACCCCTAAAAAATCCTTTTATTTGTGTCAGATGAGTATTATTCTGTCTCTTTTACTTTAAATGATTTCATGACACAGTTGAAGCTGGCCAAGAAAAGGACAGCCCTCACTACTCCCTGTTTTGGCCTGCTGAGCCTTAACGGCGGAGTCAGTAACTACACATCTATTTGTGGAAATGGAAAGTTGGCAGTATTTTATTATGATTTGGGGGAGGGTGTTGACATTGAAGAATGCACTTATTTCTGAAATTAATGCCTGTCCACTTATCTGCCCTCTACCTCCATCTCTGCATACCCATATCAGAATCACAGAGTACTTTCTAAGGCACAGTCTCTTTTGAATGAATTATTCACCTTTATGAAAATGTAATATTTGAATAAGTCCCAGACAACTCAGACCACTTGATTTTTATACTGTGGGCTCAGTAGACATGTAAATGAAAATTTATAAAGAAAACCACACCCCTATTGTGAAAAGTATTGTGGTGAAATTTCTCCTTTTAGTGCCAGAATTTTTAGCAAAAGAGCTTATTTTAACAAGATATTTATTTTGAGACTCCTCCACACCTTCCAAATACATAGTTGTATACTGTAGACGTATTACATAATGTAACTCTGAATGCTGTATATGAGCTACTTTCTATTATTCATGTGAGATGTATATTTAATATGAAATATTCAAAAGAAATGAAATATTTATACCACGAAGACATCATCCTACTATATCGTTGCAGTTAACACTACAAGCAAGTATGTTTTGAAATCTCGGTACAGTAATATATCTTTCAACTTTCTAAGTGAAATAAAAGAGATCAGTTATTTTGGGAAATAAACAGATAAAATACTGTGATAACATCATAATGTCAAAGTAATTTGGGTCTTGGCCAGGGATTTAGTTCAATGGTTCCACCACCTGCCTCGCAAGTGCAAGGTCTTGAGTTCGATCCCTGGTACCAAAAAAAAAAAAATTTTGGGTCTAGAGCACTGAATTTGGAGATTATAGGATTACTTTTGATTTGGTCTGGGGTGTGAGAGGTACTTAACATAAACCTTTTCATGACCTTTTTAAGGGATATTTTGTTCTCCTTATCATACATTCTCTATTTTTTCCAACCAAAGATGTAGATTGAGAACATATCCTTGGAGATACAAAGTCCCTTCTGACATATTCTAGTGAGGAAGACAGACAAACAAGCAGACAGACAGTGGAAATTTTTTTCTCCTCTCCTCTATTCTTGGTTTTCAGCTAGGAGTGAGGATGGTGAAGTATGTAAGGGAGAGAAGTGGGTATGTTCTGGTGATCTACAAGAGTGGAACAGTGAATGGACAAGAAAAATTCAACAGGATTGCTGGGCAGCTTGAAGGTCCTCTTGAAGCTTGTGGTTATGAGTTTGAAGACTATAAGCATGTGTTTTACTCTGAAGAGGAATAGATGCAAAAGTAGGTGAAAAGTTGCATTTATCCAAAGTTGGGATTTGGTTTGGTGATAAGATGAAAAGAATCAAGGATCAGGGATTTGAGGCATGTTTGTAAGAGAATAGATTGAAGGTCTGCAGATTTTTAAAAGAAATATTTGGTGATAAAGTTCTGCTAGCATACAGGAAATAGTGCTTTGGGATTCAGAGTACATAAGTGAATTTACACACAGGCAAAACCAGGGTGTAATCCCAGAATAAGAACTTTTTGTTGCTTAATGTGAGAATGGTGTAGTGATGGGAGAAAAGGCCTATGTCCTTTGAAGATCCTCCAAAACTGATTGGTTGGAATTGACATCAATTTCCTTCTCTTTGTACTGATACTTTTACCAAGAACTCGGGCATTTGGTTGAAAGACTTGAATAAATGGATTAAATCTGAATTGTATTCTTGAATCATATCAGGCAGAATAACTGTAACATGATGGCAGGCAACTAATTTGAGTGCAATTTTTTCTTAAAATGAATCCTATGATCACCAAAATTTCATTTCAAATTGATGTTTTTGCCCTTAAACTGAGTGGCAGTGCATGATGATAACAATACCTATGGCTTATACCATAGTAGATAGTAGCAAAGCCTACTGAAGGGGAAGAATATTAGCTTTGATGGAGTACTTAATATATGGCAGGCACATTAGATTCATTATTGCTCATTCCTATAA